GTAGGGAAGTCAAGAGGTGTGAGTGTTGCACCATAAACATATGTACCAGGCACATGGGGCATGTTTGGGACATCAGACATGCAAGGATGATTGCTAGGAGTGCAATTATGAGATATCTTATATTTCGTTAGCTTGTGACCTTATTAGAAGCAATTACTCACTGTTTCCAGGGTTGCTTGAACGTCTATGAGAGCTTGCTTTTGATGCCGAACCATCATTCCCAACAACCAGAAAAGAAGCCAACAGTCCAGGCAGCAGCACAGCATTCCCTGCAGCTGCATCCTGGCGAGGCGCAAGTGGCATGCGATGGGCTGGTGTGACAAGTGCCATGGGCTTTAGATTTATCCCACGTACTCATTTATAGTTCTTCTCACTTTTCCCCTCCCTATATTTAGCTTTCCAAATTCAAAGGCGTGCAGGAGGAATTCAAATATTCCAACGCTTACTCTGAAGTGGCAAAATTTGTACACCTTCCTATCTCTCTTTTTATCAGAATGACAAAGCAGTGACTGTACCAGATGGTGGAGTGCCACGCTACAAGAAGGGGACATTTTGTGCCATCGCACACTGTGCCAGATGCTCCGTTGCCACACATAGCCTTCACTTGCCCTGGGAGAGGAGCAACAGGGGCTACTGGAGAGCAAGGCTGGGGGACACAGCTCTGCAAGGGCGGCTGTAGATTTGAGCTCATCACAAAGAAGAGCTTTAGTGCTTTTTTGTTTTATACTGTTAATGAAAACCTTCTTTGGTGGGGTGATAGCCAAGAGGATGTCAGTAGCCAGCACTTAAGGAACACAGTGAAAACCTGGCTGTCTTGTTCAGTGAGCGCTGCAGTTTTGGGTCTCGTAACCATGACCGGTGTGTAGTTGTGCTGCTCTGGGCAGTCCTCCAGATTCGGCACACAGCAGAGCTCATGGCTGTGAAGTGGAAGGATGTTCACTGGCCATACGTGCAGCAATAGAGCAAAATATAATTGGCTTCCTTTTAATAAAAAGAATGAACCATATCCAGAAAGTGCAAAACACATGAGGAGACCGAGGGAAGTCTGGAACCACGAGTGAGTAGACGGAACTCGGTAGTAACTGTATTAAAAAACAAGCAAGCAAGCAAACAAAAAAATGAAGTGCCAGCCTATATGTTTGAAATATACAATCATTTTAGACAAGACAAGAGATTATTCAGAAGGATGGTTCCTCTGGCAGCTGACGCCAAATTTATTTGGCTGCGTTCGGGAAATGCCTAATAGACAATACAGGTACATTCAGATTACATTGAGGAATTAATTTAAAAGACAAGTTCCGTGCCCTCTGCGGCGACAGTGACATTGACTACAAAATAGTACTATTTAGGCTTATCAGAGCCGCGTGAGGGCGTTTTGATGAGTGACATTCATAACTGTCAGCAAAGCCTCCCATAATGGCAGCGCAGCTCAGAAACAAGGACTCGATGTGCCGGCTGCTTTGGCACTCATTAAAGCATTGCTATGCTTTTGTTTGCATTTGGAGAGAGGCTCATTTACATCCTGACACCAAGAAAATGAACAAATATAGGTAAATGGGATCTTCTGTGTCACCACGGTCAAGACCCTGCTATCAAGGGTAACTGCATCGTATAATTCCCTTTTAAAAAACGACCGCCCCGTTGTCCTGCAGAGCCAAGCGCCCGTCGAGGTGTGACCCTGCTGTGACATTTGTGCCTGCAGCTCCGGTGCGTCTGCAGAGGGTGAACCTCCAGGGGTTTAGAGGCTTCGCCAAACACTGTCCTGCATGACTTGAGATACCCAAGCCCGGAGCTTAACAACCAAACAGAGAAGATATTCTTGCAAGGGAAAAGTTATATGTTCTCTCCCTCCAAAAAGGCATAAATCTGGACAATATTTAAAAATAATCTTTCTTTTTTTAGTATTTATTTGATTTTTTATATGTTTGCATGTTACTACTTTCTGAAACATACTCTACATCTCCTCATCTTTAGTATTACTGATGAATTTGGACTGAAAGTGCTTCCTCTAATGAGTTCCCTTTCTTTTCTCTTTTTAACCCACTTTATTCAGACACACTAACTACACTGAACTTGGATGGCATAGCATCCTATTTCTATACCTTTAAAAACATATTTTCCCCTATTCCAACATTTTTGAAACTCTGCAAAGTCACTTAAGAGCTGTAGATCCTATTTTAGTCAGAAATTCAAGACACAAATTTGCTTGACTAAGAAACCTGTTACAAGCCAGGCAGGGATCGCTTCAGAGGAGCAGCGCCGTGCCTCTTGCAGCAGGGACTGGCAATTCATAGAGAATCTCACACGAGCACTGAGGATCGTACGCTCTAAATAGAACAGTCCCTCCCAGTGTTCGAAAAATGCATTTACATTTTGATTTCTCTGAATTCACAGGTAACTCATGGGCAGATATTTGGCCATAGGTGTCCAAGGCTGTCCCGGTCAGCTGTCTTTTGCAAACTGAACACTGCAAAGAACGCTCTCTTCAGAGACGGCATGTCCAGCACTGCACAAATGGCTTCTCTGTAAAGGCTTATTAAAATCACACCAGAAGCTTGCATGTAGCTGAATTAGTGTTTCCCAGCCAATGCGGTGGGAAAGGCTAGAGGCAGTCCCAGCAGGCCACCGTATAGTTTAAAGCCTTTCGGTGAATACAGCTCTGGTTTATGCCTTACCTACCAAGGCATAGGTGCCCAGCAGATTTTAGGAGGGGTAAGAAGGAAATATGTCCATTGCTAATGTGCAAAGCAGAGTCATCCAGTGCCTGCTGCTAGCAATAGATGA